CGAAAATCTCGTTTCGACTATTTACGAAATAAAAATAAAAATATTTTAATCTTTTTATTTTATCTTTTTACACACGAAAAAGAATGTGTATGCCATAACCCGTCAATACCGATTTTGATGAATTACAGACCCAGGCTTATTTGTGGCCTGTCTTCGATCGCTGGCCTCCCGACTCGGGACCCGAGGGAGATGCCGACTAGCAGGCGGGAGCCCATTAAAGCAGTCATATCTGGATCCAAAACTTCATTGACAGCAGAAGCGAGGATGGGGAGAACTCCGGATCCAGTTCGGAAACGCTTCCAGAAGCTGGATCAGCGGAGAAACAATCATGGAGAGTTTTTCCACCATTGTCTGCGAACAGAGCGCCCGTTGCCGTCAGCAAGATCCATGGCAGCAAAACAGCTCTTCGTAGACACCTCGATGGATGTCAATACACACCAGCAGTGTTGACGATCAGCGGTTGATTCCATCAGACCGTTTCTTTGAACGTTCGCTTAAACGCGTTCTTCGCTCGTTCACGGCACGATTATAAAACGATTAAACCTTGACCAAACTAGAAATCAGGAGTCACGCACAGTATCTATTCTATTAGTAGCCTTCTCGGGGATCCGATCTAGCGATCCATTCCAAGATCGTAAACCGAGTTCTAAGGACTCCAGTGAGCTAAACGTGGCGAAATGCCTACCAGGCCGTGTACGACTCGCACTCATCTTGAGAAAACAGACAAGCCCTGCAACCGGTCTAACTTCTTTCATCATTACCGCCACTGTATTGCTGCCGCAAAGGAAGCAAGGAGAAGAAATGCACCACTAGTTGTGATTGAGGACATTCTTGCTCGCCAGAACAACTTTGAGAAGCATCTCCGCTCATGTCAACATGCGCCTCGATGGGCTCGCCCAAGTATGCCAGAGTTTAGGGAATACGTGGATGCTGATGGTGTACACAACGCAGCAAGCCCACCCAGACAAACGGCCATCCCTACTTACTTTATCGAGTTTCGGACCGAAGGATAAAGCTAAGTTCGAACGATTACTAGTGGAGTATCAAGCCGACAACCAGCTACCAGACCTATTCATCACGCGCCCGTCTACGCGGCGCTTGTTCGCGTTCTTGAACAAGCACTAAATACCATCACTTCCAACTCATCAGATTCTCGGCGGACGTATCCTTGATACCTACTCCAAAGAAGGCATCGTAGATGAGGAAAATTCACTCAAGCAAGTTGTGAATTTAACAGGAGGACGGGTTAATTTCTTGTAGTATGTTTGGATGAAGCCTTGCCGGAAGGTTTCTTGCAAGGTATCCAC